TTTTACTCATATTTTTCGGCTCACCAGTTGGCCTTTCAACTCCGATATGGGTATAGAGAGATTCAGGATTGAATTCCGAATGAAAAGAGGGAAAAAAAGTACCTATTCGGCATTAGCGGTGGCTCCGGTGTGGTGGCAATGACAGTCAGTTTCTTTTCCGGCCGCCCTTCTTCTTCTCCGATAAAAACTTGTGCGGCTAGGGTTAGGGTTTCCTCGAACACAATATTTAATTACCCTCCTTGATTCGATTTGGGTCGTACGTGCAAGGACATATGGCCCTCTCCTGTCCCTTGGATCCCTTTATTCGAATAATGAATCTGGACCGCATGATCGGATTGAATCTGACAGTCCAATCACGCTTGAATGAGAAACACGTCTTGGTCGTCTGTGCTCGCAGGATGTGATCTGGACCGTTGGATTTGCAGGCACGCGGATCGCCCGCATGGAATCGGTGTCAGCATGTCCGCCACGCGACGTGTTCTGAGTTGTCATTGCTGCAGATATGGACGTCCCGCGTGGCCATATTTTCTCTTTTTACGATTTTATCCCATATTTTTAAAATTTTCTTTTAAAAAAATCCTCCTTATTCACAGTTTTACTCATTTTTTTCATAATTGTTTTCAATTTCGTCTATAATTCTATTTTCCTCAAAAACTTCACAAAAATTAAAATAAAAAATATTAAATTATTTAAATGTATAATTTTATTAATTGTAAAATTATTCCGAGCCAAATTTTTTGTTCTGGGTGTTACATCATTTATTGAATTGTTTTTTAGAAATAAATAATTTTTAATTATTAAATCAGTAATGAAAATAATTAAATTTTATATGCATAAAGTTAATTCAATTTTACACATATGCATATATGTATAAATAGACTTAATTATGTGCATCAAAACTAAATTAATTTTGATAAATTAAATTAATGGTTACACGTGTATAAAATTAATTAATATTTTCAGAAAGTTATTCTTTTTCAGGGTTGATAAATTAATTAATTTTCGTAAATGTATCAAATTAAATAATTATTTCAAAGTTAATTTCAATATTTACACTAATACATGCATGTAGTAAATTTAAGAATAATTGATTTAATTTTTTAAAATATGGTTTTAATACATAATTGTTTAATCCACATAATTAAACTAGAACCAATATAATTACAGGTAGATAATTATTAAGAAACTGAAAATACCATCATTTATGGATGTTCATTAATATAATTTAATTTAATTTAATTTGTAATATCCGTTTAATTTAATTTATATATTAATTTTATAATCTTTTGTATTCTTATAAATAAAGGTTATAAGAAGTTATGAAATTTAGAGAAAAATAAGATAAAATAATTATTATTTTAGTTTGTATGAATATATTGTTAATTTTGTAGATGTCACTATTACCATATTTTTGCTTTAAAAGTTTATAACATGTTAGAATCAGGGGTTGACCTTTTCTTATATATAATTTTGCTTTTTTTTTTCAAATATATTTTACTCATATAATTATTTTTACTATTTTAAATATTTTTATATAAATATTATCTTTCTAATTAAATTTTTATTTTATCGTTTAATTAGATTGTATATATATATTCATTTTAATTAGATTAATATATTTTAATATATCAAACTTTGTAATGATAAACCATATGAAATGTGAAATTCTAGCTCTTTATGATGTAGATAATAACTATTTATCACGGGTATTTCTTGCTAAAATTCATTTACATGTTATGAGTTTTAAAA